ACCCTTATTATCAACCTTTGGCCCCCACATGCTCGTTCAAGTTGTCCCCTTGTGTGCCCCAAACCCCTGAAGTCCCAAGGAACTCTGCCCCCCTTGGTCATGCGTCCTGTGGCCTAAATCCCACCTGCGGAGGGGACTCTTCCCTTAGGACAGCCGGGCGTCCCGTAAGACATTGCGGTTCTTCCCGGGAGAGCCACCCCGGGCCCACCTCCTCCATCCAAATGGACGGAGAACACAGACACGTGTCACTCCAGATCACGCGAATAAGCAGCGTAGACAGGACACTCACCATTGGCTTATGGTTGGGGAAAAACGTCTGCTCCACAAGCGGGAACTTCTCAGGACCCAGGGAGTGGAAGATCTTAATGAGCTGAGAAAACTAGGGGAGAAGAGGAGAGAACATTGGTCAACACCTGTCATCCCGTATGACAGAGCCACCCCGTGACCCCAGGGCTCGAGCGTCTGACGGCTCTGAGCTGAGCTACAGTGGCTGCTCTCTGCCTACGGGGAAAAGGTCACAGGCCTTAGCTGGGCATCTGTTATCTCCTTCATCTGGCTGCATCAACCCCTTCATTCCTGCCAGGCACACCGCGTTCAGCTCAATACCTTGCAATACACATTTCCTATACCCTCAGCCTCTCACACAAGCATAACCTGCTGACATTCACGCCATGTCCCTTGCCTGCCGTGCCCTTCTTTCTAGGGAGGCACGTGGCATAGGAGTTCATGGCACAGACTCTGGGTTTAAACTCCTGCTCCTGCACTTCCGTTCTGGGTAATCTGGGAAAACCACATCAGGTGTCTGAATTTCTGTGTCCTTGTCTGTGGATGGAGAAAACGAGGGACCCAACCTCACAAGGGCCTTGCAAGGATTAAATGTGCAGGGTATTAAAGGGATTTAGGTGTAGTTGGGGGGGAGTGTTGGCGTGGTATTTTGGGGAAAGCCTCTCTTACAGGTAACATCTAAATGGAGACTCAACTACATCAAGTGAATGAATGAAACAAGTGAATAAAAGGTGGGGGAAATCAAGTCTTGGGGGTTGGAAAGAGGGCTCCCAAGTTCTGGCTTCACGCCTGGATTTGGGGAGTTCCTCAGCTGTTCTGAGCCACCTGCAGGTGATAATGATGGACCGAATGCCAGGCAGCACAATGTTCTGGTCCTTGCTCAGTGCTCAATAAACAGTGCCTACTGCTAACAACAGTGACATGACAGAATGTTAGTCAGAACAGGACGGTACTGCCTCTTACCACTATTATCATTATAAGACACCACTATATCATAATATGTGTTATATGATATTTGTTAGGCAATCATTACAAGAAGGGGACTGGGATCCAAGTTGCTTATTCAGCTGCCTTTTCATTCTGAGGTCTCCACGTTGGGGAATGGGCCCGTTTCAGGCCTGGGAGGGCCTCCCATCGCCCCCACCTCGCTCTGGGTTAGCCTAGCCGCCACCTACCACCCAGGGCTTGCTGCAGAAGTTGTAGACGGAGTAGAGGGAGTTGACAGCGGGCAGCCCTCCGTACTGCAGGCCGATGACCAGGCTGCGGTAGTCTTCGCCCAGGGCCATGCTGTAGGCGTGCTGGCGGACCAGGATGAAGTCTGGCTTGAAGGACCTGCGAGAGAGGGGCCGACAGCAGTGTTACTGCGCTGTGCACTGACGGAATGCCATGCATCGGCCACAGGCCGCTGGGAAAGCACTGAGCCGGTGTGGCCACTGCCCGGGAGCCCTCCGTTCACAATGGGGATGGGGTGGTGGGTGTGGATGCGGAGGGTCAGTTGCAAACACAACGTAAAATGACTGAAAACAACTTTCCTTTTCTTTCTGCTTCCCTTTCTTTTTATTTTTCATAATATTCTTTTTTTAAAAAATATCTTTTTATTGATTTCAGA